AAGAATTTACCAATTACTAGGATTATTTTTGCCTGAGATAAAAAAAAACATACTTCACTTTTTTAGGCTAGTTTTTCTGTAACTTAAAAAAGAAACTAGTTTTTATGGTTGTTAAATTTTGTCTGGGCAAAATTATCCCACTAACAACTTGTTTAATTTAATATCAAATACTTTATGTAAATCTCAAAATATAATTTTTCTCTCTAGTTTAACCTAATTATTTCACTCTATATTGTAATTTACACCTTGAATTTTGGGTGACTGATTTAATTGTCATTTCACATATAATTAATTATTAATTATTAATTATTAATTTATCTGCTAGTTTATATATATATATTTTTTTAAAAAAGATATAATGTTTATTTAATTAATAATATTTTGTTTGTTTGTGCCATAATTTGTTCAAAAAAAAAAAAAAAAGAGAAAATGAAGAAGTTGAAGAGATCCTAACAATTGGTATCTCATTATTGGGCAGCAGAGAATTATATAATACTCTTACTAGAAAGCAAAAGATGCAGAGCATGAGAATAAAGATGAAAGGTACACACCATATAAATATAAATATATATATATATATGTGTGTGTGTGTGTGTATATATATATATAACTTGTTATGATCCACATCAATGAAACACTCAATTGGGTAAAATTAAATTCTAGTTCCACCAGTCAAAACCTTTGAAAAGGATATATACAAGCAAGCAACAACAAAAAAAAAAAAATTTATAGAGACATCAATATCACTATATGCCAAATTGAGTTCAATTTTAGATTCCCAACAAAAATTCTCTTCTTTTCCTTTTCAATATGTATACATACATATAATTATTATTATTTTTTTTATAAATGCATCTATTTCATTATTTTAAAATTTAAAAATAGGTACTCCCAATTAATCTTTTCACACATAATAACACCATATAATCCGAAATCATAAATAATTAAAGTGGTAAAATTAGATTGAGAAAACTAATCGCTTCAATTATCAAATTTTTTATAAAGTTCACTAGAAAGAAACATGAAACTAACGCTATGAAAAGTTAAAAAAAAAAAAAAAAAAGAAAAAACCATTCACAATCATCTACCATTTATATAGCAATGTTGAAACAAATGAAATATAGGAAAAAGCAACAAAGTAGGGAAGATATATAAGCGAATGCCTCCCCCCATGTATATTACAAGACCAGACACAGATCAAAGCTCTCACTCTCTAATTCAGTGATGTGATGAAGAGGCTGAAGGTGGACACTGATAGCACTTGGCAAATAGCCCGAATGTATCAACTTGCTTAATGAAATTCGTCATGCTGGCCCATCCTCCCAACCCGAACCCAACCACGAACACCCAGACCACCACAAATGCGTTCAGCGCATACACCGCTGTCCAGCTTGGGAGGAAGAATGGAGGTTTCTCTGCCGCATTCTGGTTAGACAAAAGTTTAAGGGAGTAAGATAGTTTAAATTGATGGGAATGACCTAATATCTATATTATAAGTTTATCCCTCTTGAAAAGTGAAATTTACATTTTGATACTTGCCGAAAAAGAAAAAGTATAGTAAAAAATTTCTAAGGATTACAGTTAATAATGCTTTTCTTTTTAATCTCTTTGTGTAATTTTTTTTTTTAAAAAAGCTAGAGTTAGAGTGAAGAACAAGACTAGTGGGTCAGCTTGCCAGCTATTTCCAAGGTGTATGGTGTAGAACCATGGCTATAGCATATAACTGAATGATAAGGAAATTCCACCAACCCTCTTTTTTTTGTTTTCTAAATTCATTTGATACATGGCTAAACTCCGAAAATTCTAAATCAAAATCGGGTAAGTGATTTAACAAATATGATACAACATTACAGATTTTGATACTTAATCGGTGTGATGTTAACATTACTTAACATGACCGATGGGATATGCAGGAGAACTTAGCTTTTATTTTTATGACTTCTCTATAGATCTCACTTTCCCAAATAAATACAAAAATCTCGAAAAACAAATGGGTTTGCCTAGTACAGACAAGTAATATTTCGATAGCTTACATGTATCTCGACTAATTCAATGTACTGACTTGTCTTTTAACTCTAACTAGCTAGTAATTAGGACCTCAATGATATACATGCCAAACAACCAGTGTGGCCCAAAGTGTACCTACCTTGCTGCCTAACATGCAAGATGTTTCTATCAGTATACATATCTGTCAAATTGGTTTTGATTATTATGGCCGAGAAACTAAGGCCAATAATATACTTGAATAGCAATTTTATGTCAGCATTAGGCAGTGCCAACATAACTTGTTCGTATCTTCGACAGGAAACAAAAACCGAAAAGATAAGATGTACGAAGACAAGATCATTTACCTGTCGAGCTGAGGCTGATCTGTATGTGAGCATATGTGCTAAAGCCGGGATGATGTAAACAGTGAAGCTGACCAAGAGAGCTCCCACAGCAGAGTTAATGGGACCGAAGAAAGGAAATATTATGGCCAAGAACCAAATTGGTATCACCACAGGTAACCGAACTAGAGCCCTCAAGCAAATGCTCTTAGTATCATGCATTCCCACAACTTTTTCCCACACAAAATATAAAGGCGTACAAGCAAACCCGAATGTTATAAACTGCATTTGTGTTACAAAATTCAAGCAACATGAAGTCAATTCAGTTAACTCATTCGGCCAATTTGGTTAAGCAACAAAATTGTTAACGTGGAAGATATGAAAAGTACCTGGTGGATTAACATTAGGATGACTGCAGCATCACGCCATCCAGAGGGCGGAAGAAGGGAGAAGGCATTCGAGTGGGTGAGAAGTTGATCACCAAAAGCCCAATAGACAGCAGCAGCTGATGGAAGCGTCAGGGTGAAGACGTAAAAAGTAGCAAGCAGATAAATGTACTTGAACTTTTGAGGCTTCCACATTGCATGCATAATTTCCCTGTTAACATTTAATTTACACCAACAAGTTTAGTTTCCAAAATTAATCATCAGCACAATTCCATTAAATTGATCACAGTTCAAAATCAGTGGCCAAAATGATCATCTGAGTTTCAAAACTAAGTACCAATTTTTAGTAAAAGCAACAGAATTTGTCTCAAGCCCATTGATAGAAAAGTTTCCAATGGTTAAAAACACCGAATCAGACCTAGTCATCATCGAAAAATTATGGAGATGATGATGTGTTTTTTCTCGAAAACCTCCAGCCCAGTACAAGAAATCTGCTAGTTCAATTTTTCTATATCAAGAAAACTGAACAAATCAAGTTTATTCTCCAAACTATGGAGACTCGCTGATTCACATACTTGTCACCAGTTAGACATTATATCAAACAGAAAGCAGGCAACATATACTGGCATTAAATAATTTTTTCCCCCCAAAACCCATCAAGCCGGCAGATTACACTATAAAAATTTCAATAATCAGTCCAACAAATTAGAGGGCGAAAATTTTGATAATCTTGGATGATACGCCTTCGCTAAAATCACAGCTTTTAGCACCAATTTCACATACTCAAGACTCTAAAGTCTTCATTAATGGAGAATCAAATAACAACATGGTCTAATAATCTTGTCTTCTCCCAAGAAATGGAAAGGACAAACAGACAAAATTCATTTTCTACTCCAACTTTCTCTTATCCATTCTTTAATAATTCAAACACAAGCAATGATAACACTTACACAGTGACAGCATGCCCGCCGAAAGTGTATAATATATTGGTGGCGCCTGTGAAGTACAAAACCAGCTTTGTTGGGCCAGAGTGAGTTACCCCTTCAGCCTGTAAAAAAAAAAATCAGAAGGGTTAAAAGGGCACGATCAATGGCTGAGATTTAATGATGAATGTGAGAGAAAGATCAAGGACGTTGATTGGGTTGACCTTGCCATGAAGAAGTGCTGCTATGGTCAAATACCAAGCAGTATAAGTGGTCATGCCAAGACCAAGAAAAGACCAGATTCTGTAGTTGTGAAATGAAGGGATGAAAACAGTTGTGGCACAGCAAGCTCCAAAGATGTAAGTCCATGTCCTCTTGTCTAAGTTGTCGTTTATGTAGTATATATTACTGTGATTATAACCCAGAAAATTAAAGAGAACAAATTAAAATCAGTCAAAATGAACAAAACCCATGTTGATAAATCACTCAACATTGAAAATTTAACCTGAAATTGGACAAAATTGGCCAAACCCATGTTGATTAAACTATCAAAACTGAAAACTTGACTCAAAGTTGGACAAAAGTAGACAAAACCCTTGATGGTTTAGCTTCTCAAAATTGAAAATTTTAACCCAAATTATCTAAAATTAGACAGAATCCATGTGGATTAACCTTTACAAAGAGGAAAATTTAAACAAATTAAAGAGAAGAAAAAAAAGGCGGTATATTCAAAGGACCTTGCACAGGCTATAAGCTGGATAACAGAGCCAAAGAGGAGAAAAGTGCAGTTGAAGGCTAATCCTGCAGCTTTCCAGTATGGACCCAGAAGTCCATCAAGCACTTCAAACCACTGCAAGACATTTAAAAAAATTATAACTTAATTAGAAAATAAAGAATGAACTTTTTTATATTTTAGAATAATTATTACTATATACACCCACACACACATATATATTTGTGTTTTTGGCTGTTTGCTATTGAAAAACTCACCTGAATAACATGGTTTTTGAAGCTGACATTCTCTTTCTCCTTTCTGCTTCTGTACTCAACATAAAGAACACTGATTAAATAAGCAGTCCAGCTCCCAAGAATTCCATAGAAAATTTGCAGAATAATCCCAGATAGCATCCCCAGTTGAGAGAATGAGTATGGCAATGTCAGCAAAACTTGAGCAACCTGTATCACCCACACAAAATTACTAACAAAATTACAAAAAAAAAATTCAATGAAATAATAATCTGGGCATTTCTTAGTTTTTTTTTTCTTTTCCTTTTTTGCTTGTTTTAATCTTTTCGTGTTCAATAAAAATCCAAAGTACCTGATTTGATGCACAGCTAAACCAGGCATCATAAACAGACCCACCATGCCAAAGAAAGCTCTTGAAGCTAAACATTTCTTTTTTCTCTTCAATCTTCTCTTCATTCTCTGTTTCATTAAAACTTGAAACCATAGCTCCTTCTGCTTCTTTATGTGCCATGATCTTCTACTGCCCAAATCTCTACACAGATCTGAAACAGAGAAAAAAGAAAAGAGTACCCTTTTCCTTAAATAACTAAACTTTAAGAACTCAAAAGCAAAACTTGCATGCTAAAACCAAGCAAAAGTAGAAGAGAAAACACGAAAAATGAACATGCAAACCATGCGTTACCTGAGTTTTAGCTGGCTTGTCCGAGAGAGAATTTAGAGTTGAGAAACAGAGGACGTAGGAAACGGATTTTCTTCCTTGCCAAACGTACGACTTCACCTTGGAAATAGCCTTTTTTTTTTGTTTTTTAAGTACTAAAGTTTGGCGTGTGCACAAGAATGTGAAGAAGGAGATGAAGAGAGGCAGAGGAGCTGCATTTGCCTTGCTTGACTCCCTATTTAAATCTTCTTACGGCAAGAAAAAAACAAAAACAGAGTAATTCTGTATAGCTTTTTTTTTTCGACTGCGATGAGGCTACCTTTTTTTTTCTTAGATTTTAGCAGATTTAATTCTTAACAAACAAAAGGACTATAGCATTATCTCAACTCCTCTAAATCGTGAAACCTAAAGAGAGAATTGGTAAAGCATTTAGCTCTGCCTCTCAAATTTTTAACTTCTAAAACTCTCCTTTCAATCTATCTCCATTACAGACCCCCTAAATGTTGCTTTATCTGCAGGATTTCGCAATTGGGTAATGTTAAAAACCAGAAGCAGTAAAAAACCCAATAAGCAATAAAAGTGGTTTCTCTTTCCCTTTTTTTCCTTGGGAAAATGACAAAGTTTGAGTTGAAGGAAAAGAAAATAATGAAAATCTGAGTAAAACAAACTAGAACAGAAGCTGGTTTTTTCTTTTTTGGTTTTTTTCAGAACCGAGATCTGACAGAGCTGCCTTTTTTAGAAATAGGAAAAGAAATTAGAACAACAAAGAATCAGTTTCTTCTGTTTTTTTCTTTCTTTCTTCTTCTTCTTCTTCTTCTTTTTTTGCCCCGAGCCTGCAATATACTCTGTTTTCTGCGACAGTAGTAGATAATAATAATATCTTCAACCCCCTCTCTCTCTCTCTCTCTCTCTCTCTCTCTCTCTCTCTCTCTCTCTCTCAACCTCCCTGGTCTCTATGTGTTGTCTCCATGCATAACTTATGGGGTTTTAAATGCCTGATGAAGTGTGTACAGAACCAAATCTCAAAATAATAAACTTAAAATAAATAAATAAATAAATAAAACACTTTTTTTTTTTTAATTTACATTAAATGTCAAATATATTTGAAACATAAAATTAAATCATAATTTAAACCATTACAACCATTCTAATTAAAGAAATTCAGTCAACGGCCACAAGATAAACCCATAAACATTATCATTTGTCAGAATTAAGCCTAATTTTATTATCTTAATGCCACCAATACACTTAATATATTCACCCAAAAAATCACGTATTATTTCTTCAGATTGGCGTTTTTAAGTTTTTCCTTTTTCTTCTTGATTTTTAGTTTAATTTCTTTTCTTTTTAAATTAAATTGATTTTATACAATATGGGTTATAATAAATTTATGTTTTATGTAGATAAATATAAAAGATTCATGAATTTTATTTATTTAGATAAATAAAAATATTTTTAAATTGCTTTTTTTTTAAAACCAAAATTGGATTTCATTTGGGATTATATGAAAATAAATTTATTAATTTAATCTTCTTTTTTTTTTTTTAACTTCTAAAATACTGTCTGTAAAAATTATTTCGAATCCAGACGATCATAATGGAAACTAATATCTTTACCGATTGCTTTAATGCGGGTAAAAACTAGTGTTTTTAATTTTTCACCTTTTAACTTATGTTTTTTTTTTTTTTAACTTTTTACTCCTCGGTAAAATCTGACATTTATTATTTACCAAATTACCTTGTATATTTTCCAATTTTTACTCTGGCCAGGGATCCTAACACATGCATCCAGTCCCACACGGTACAAGGAGCTGTAAAGCACTAAAAGGTGAAATTTAATTTTCTTTCCAAGATTCCTAATTCCATTTACTATAAACTTGCTCAATCTGTCTGCTAAATCACAAAGTCGTATTACTTTCTTAATCAAAATTTAATGCATCATCAAATTATTTATTAATTGTTAATTAAAATTCAGGATTATTAAATATATAATAAGATTTTCATTTACAAAACAAATTATTATCTGTCAAACAAGACTAATAAGTACTCTGTCTACGTTAAAATTCATCAAGTTCAAGTTTTATTATTTGAACCAGTTTGTATCTTATTCATACTCGAATTATTATTTAAAAGCCCAGATCTTAAAAAGAAATAATGTCATAAACTAAATGCGGAAACGAAATAATAAAATTTAAGGTTACATTTCTTACACAATAATTTAGAATGTCTAATAGGGTTATGAGAACGATTCTTCTAAAATAATAAATAAAAAATTAAAGAAATAAATAAAAGGCAATATGCGGATTATTTTAGGACGACATTCACTAGCTTTTGAAGGGAGTCCGAAAGGTGAATTATTCACAACACTCTTGTTGATCGAGATATGAGTCTTGGTCCTCTTGATCTGAAATAGTTAATGAAAGGGTGAGCTACACTAATCCCGTAAGAATATCACACAACTCATCGATACATAAACTGAATGTTGGTAAAATCATAAAATAACTAATGAGCTCTTAGTTTAAGTAAATTCATTTATCATAAAGAAAACCATTTATTGTATATATTTACCGTTGCGAGA